CAAACAATGAATCATGGAACACTACATCAAAAACTAATGATGTAATGTATGGTGATTAACATAACAATTAAAAAATTAAAAAAAAAAAAGAAGGGCTTCCCAGAAGAGATATCCCTTGAGCTGAGTTTTGGCGGCCAAGGAGGAGGATAGCTAGATAAAATAGAGAAATAGCCACATCCGCAAAAGCACAGAGACATTAAGAACTTGATGCATCCAGGCAAACAGATGGGAACTGCAAATACCACACATGGCTGGAGTGTAGGATGAGTTTGTAGAAGGGTCAGGGAATGAGGCTAAAAAAGAGGTAGACAGGGACCAGAAAGTACAGAACTTTATGTGCTAATATAAAGAATTTTCATTGTGAAAGTTATTGGAGGATTTTCGAGTTCACGATGAAGAGTGTCATGGTTGGGTTTGTATTTTTAGAAAGATCATACTACAAAGAGTATAGAATGACTTTGAAGGTTTTGGACTGGATGGTGGTGTCATTCACTAAGGGAACACCCAAAGAGCAGATTGGGGAGGAAAGATTTTAAGTCCAATTTTTTGACGTGTTGGGCTTGAAGTGTGTGTTGGTTTCCTAAGGGCTACTGTAACAAATTTGATGGCTTCAAACAACAGAAATTTATTTTCTCACAGTTCTGGAGGTTGGAATTCAGAAAATCAGCAGGGTTAGTTCCTTCTGGAAGCTCTTAGGGAGAATCTGATCCATGCCTCTCTCCTAGCTTCTGGTGACAAGTTGTAGCATTTCTTGCCTTGTAGAAACATTACTCCAATCTCTGCCTCTGCCTTCACATTGTCTTCTCTTCTGTGTGTGTCTTTGTCCTCTCCTCCTCTTTTAAGGACACCAGTCATGAGATTTAGAGCCCAACCCAAATCCAGGGTGAGCTCTCTTGAGATATTTAACTTATTTATATCTGCAAAGACCCTATTTGCAAATAACATCACATTTGCAGGTACTGGTGATTGGGACTTGGATATATTTTTGTGGGGGGGGACACTATTCAATGCATTTATAAAGTGAATGAAGGGATAACTGTCTTCATAATCTGACTAGTACTCTAGGCTTGGTTTGCACTTCCAAAGGCACAAGGAAATGCAGAATTAAAGACTATGTTATGTTGTAGAAAGAGCAAAAACTAGTCAGAAGGATCTAGGTTCAATCCAGACTCTATATTAGTTGAAAACTTGGTTAGCCTTTTAACCTCTACGAGTCTTGATTTATTTGTAAAATGGGAATAATATGACCTATTATAAAACCGGCAGGGAAGTTAAAGACTCATTCCCAGGTATATGGTAGATGCTATTATTTCAAAAAAAAATAATAAGCTTGAAGATAACACATTTGGAAATGACCCACATTAAAGATGGGGTTATGTGAGTATACTGAGTGTTTAGACTATAGCAATTGACATCAAGAAGAACTGGGAGGTGTCCTGTCAGATGGAGATCAGCAATGAGGACTCCAAACCAACACACACTTCAAGCCCAACACGTCAAAAAATTGGACTCTAAGGGGCATTTGGCATCAAGAAAATCAATTATCAGGTATCTCACCACCTAAGTCAAAGAGAAGTTAGCAAAATGAAGGCAGGGCTTCTAGTCTTAAAAACTGGGGTATCAGGCAGATTTCTAAGATGTTTATGAAGTTTCTGTGCTATGCCAGGCATTCCAGGTAAAAGGACAAGTAAGACATGGACCTTCCTGACAGAGCTCACCATCTTTCAGGTGACATCAGACAAGTAAACAAGATAAAATACAATGCAACATGATGTACTACAAAAAGCAGAGCAGAGTTAAGGGACAGACCAGCTAAAAACTGCCTGTGGGAGCCTGGGAAGGCTTTAGAGAGAATGTGACATTTGGATGGATTCTAGGAGGATGAATAGAGTGTGCTTGCCAGAGAGAAAAAGAGAAGCTCTTTCCAAGCAGAGGAAAAAGAGGCAAAGCATAGGAAGTAAGGACCAGAACTGGAGACAGGAACTGAGGATCAGTCAAAAGCCCAGTTATCTGAGTTGATAAATGGAAACAGAGCCAGAGCCAGAGTATTAACAAACTTACTGCTGACTCCCAACAGTTTGGGCTACAATTTGCAGTTGTCCTGGTTAAGATGCAGGTTTGTCCTAGAGATCCTGGCAGCACTGAGCATAGAGATGTGAGTCAGTGGTTCTAGCATCTGGGAAGGAAGATATATAGAGATTGATGACCAGTGAGCTACTGACATTAGCCAAAATCCAGAGAGAAGGGGAAAGTTTATGAGGGATTTCTCATGCAACAGATGATCTAATTTCAACTTCACAGCAATGTTCTGATGGAAAGCAAGCAGAGCCATGAAATAACAGCCCCAGTTATCAAAAAAGCAAAACTGACCTGGTTCCTAGAGAAAGCAAGCTTTTGCCAGCTGGTCTCTTTGCAGTTTCCTGCTGACTTAGGCAGCGCTGGGGCCCAAAGGTGCTTTCTAGAAGTGGTTTCAGCTACCTGGGGAACAGTTCTTACACCTCAGTTTCACTGCACTGAAAACAAAAACCAAAAAACTACGAAGGTTGGATTCTATTGACAAGGAACAAGTAATGTGTATTCAAGTTACTTGTACATTTGGGCGGTACATTCCCGGTGTGCAGTGAGTATCTGTTAGGTTGGGTTCCCCACGATGTATATCGACAACACTGTCTCCAATACTAAATGGAAAATACACCCCCAATACCACAGAAAAAAGCATCAGACTTCACAGGCCCCCCAAAGAAGCATCCCTAAAGTGCTTTTCTGTCCTCCTTGAGGCCTCTCAGTTTCCAAGATTTTAGCAGGCTAATTGGCAACGTGTTAACTTCCATGCACACTGTCACCACCCCCGTCCCTATGTGCTCTCCAGAACGCCCCCTTGCCACCCTGGCCAGGGAGACCCCGGCCCATGATGCAAGGAGGACGTCACAGCTCGGGACCGCACCAGCCCTGCGTGATGGGAGCGGAGGGCGAAGGGAGTGGCGTCGTCCTTTCGGGAGAATTCAGAGGCGGCCCGAGCTCGCGTGAACACCGCTGCGCGGGAAGGCGCGCCCCGAGGCCACAGCGCTGGATGCAGGAGCGGCTGACCCCCCCACCTCACACAGAACCTCCCTTCCCCAGGGCGGGGCTGCGGGGGGCGGGGAGCGGTGCGGCGAGCGGCGCCCCCCCCCCTCACCGGGCCAGGGCGCAGGCGCAGGCGCGCGGGGTGCGGCGGGGAGAGCGGCGGCGCCGGGCGCGGGAAGATGGCGGCAACGGCGGCGGCGGCGGCGGCAGAGCAGGTCTGGGAGCCCCGCCGCGGCCAGGGACAGGAGGGCCCGGGGAGGCCGGGGTCCCGCCGGTGGGGTACGGCGTGGGGCCGGCCAGCGGAGGCCGGGACGCGGGGGCCGCAGGCCGGGCTCCGGGGGGAGCGGAGCGGGCGGGAGGAGCTGTCCGCAGCCCGGGATGCTGGCGAGGGCCGGGTGGCACTGCGGGCAGGGGCTCCGGGTCGATGAGAGGAAGCAGGCGGCGGCTCTCGGCCTGGCCGACTGCCCCTTGGTCGGGCTGAGACGGGGTCGCCGCCTGACGGGCGGGGAGGCGGCCGTGGCAGCCGGGAGCCTGCGCCAGGACGTGCCAGCTTCGGTGGCCAGCGAAGATGCTGGTAAAAATAGCCTCAGCCCCTGGGGGAGGCTCCTCTGACACCAGCCAAGAACCAGTCCGCTGTTGCCTGCATGTCAGCTTGGGGCCACTGCTTGTGCCTGCCATCCCCGATATGCAAGCATCAGGTTTCTCCTCCCGCTTTGGTTTTGGAAATTTGGTCACCAGTTTAAAACTGCCTCCTGTGCAGTTGGTTTAAAATTATTTTTTTAATGCTTTATCAAGTATTTCCTGATCTGCATTGTAAACTTGTACCTTAGAGTAGTTTAAAAGACTATTTTCCCCCAAAAGCAAGCTATGAATATGCATACACATGCATGCATGTGTTACATATACATATCTATAGTTGCTAGGGTATTTTGTTGTAATAAAAATAATTTTCATGGTCACTTTTTCCTTAACTGTTATTTCCCTTTACAAAACTATGATAGGATAGTTTCCTTTGAAAAAGTCTCATTCTGCCACGTTGTTGAAAAAATAAATGTAAGTGAAGTTGCCAGCATGCTGTTCTCAGAAAAGACTTTCTTAACGCCGTATTTGCTTTATATATCACTGGAACAGTCCTTCTAAAGGACATAAAAAAGACTTGAAATCCACCTTCAAGGAACTTAAAGTCAGACTGCCAAATAATTGCAGAGAAATCAGCGAAGGGGGCAAGCTACAGATCATAACAATAAAATAAAATCTAAAGGAATGAGTGAAAGTAAAAGGAGACAAAACTTCTTGGGGTTGTTGAGATTAAAATTATTTTTTGGTTTTCCTGATTTCCTACCAGCTCTTGTTTTAGATGGTTCTTTTTTTCATCCGCATCACCTATTGATGCTCTGGAGGCTCCACCAAGGTTCTCTTCTTGCTTTACACATAAACTGGGCAATCTGGTCCATTCCTTAGTTTCCACTTCAGAGTTAAACATTTGTGTCTCCAGCCTGAACTGAATTTTCCACAGGTACCCCAAACTCAAAAATGTACAAAACTGGATTGCATCATATTTACCGTTAAAAGGGTTACAACCATCCATTCACTTGGTTAACCTAGCTAGAAACTTGAGAACCGGACCAGCTTAAGGGAGCTTAGAAGGGACCCACACTTGGTTTCATTTCTGCTGTCCCAGGTGTGATATTTGAACAAAGGGCTTCACATTTTCTTTTTCGTCCAGACTCCACACAGTTTGTTAGCAGGTCTCTAGCTGGGAGTCATCTTAGATCCCCTCTGGGTCACACTCACAGCCAATCAATCACCAGGTTCTATACTTCTTCCTCTTAATGCCTCTCGCCATCTTCTCTTCATCTAAAGCTCAGTCAAGCCCTCCTTTGGACTGTTAGATAAACCTGCTGTTGATATCTTCATCTCTAAACTCTTCTGTTCCAGCTCATCTCATTTTGGTACATGACTTAGATTTTGCTGTAATGCAAATCTGATTGTATCACTAACCCATTTTAAATTATCAGTAGTTCCCCCATCACCTTCGGGATAAAGTCCATTGTTCTTGACAATTCGAGTACTTATGTCCCTTCATTTACTGGCCCCTAACCATATCTCTGACCTTATTTTTTGCCGCATTTCAATATTCATCCTTTTCACCATCCACAGAAACTACCAAAATTGATTTCACACTGAGATGACTTGTACTCAAAGTTTCCATGCTGTTCCCTCTGCCTGGAATGCCTTTCTCTGTCCTTTTGCCTGGCTAACTCCTATTTATCCTCCCAAGATTCAAATGAAATCTCAGCCTTTCTTAAAAACCTTCCCCTGATGCACCTGCTTGCTAGGTAGAGCTACATTCCTCTTCTGTACCCTTTCAGTATTCTGTGCATTTGCTACCACTGCATTTACCATGTTAAACTGCCATTGTTAGTGACCCGGTCTGTCTACTCTCCTGGCCTGTAAGGAAGTTCACTGAGGGTAGGTGCTATGTCTGGCTTGTCTTAGTGATCTGAGGCATTTGGCATATAGTAACTCTTCAATAAGTTATAAATGTATCAAATTGAATAATAATGTACATGAATTGGCAGAGAAAAGAATGTATCCCAGGAGGGATCAATTTTGTCCTGTCTCTCTTTTATGTAGACCTTTATTCAAGCCCTGATTTTTAAATTGCCCATACTGCATCTGTGAAAATTAGAGGAAAGCGTACCTCCCTTAAGGTATTCTATACCTTCAGCCAAAAAGTATCAAAATGCATATTCCACTGTAGGAACTCAGCAGTATCCCTGTACCCTCACAGATGTACCTCATGCAGACACACAACCTACACAACACTCAACAACCTGTTCTGTGAAAAATCTGGTGAGTAGATGGAATTATCTTCTATAGAGCCTTCTTTACTGCTTTGTGGAATTACAAAAATTGTATCTGCTGCATTACTCACAATGATTATTCACGTCTCTTTCTATTTTCCATAAGCCCTTAACCAGCCTGCTACCTCTGCCACCATGATAAGATTCCAGTAGCCTTCTCCACTCTTTCTTGGCAGATGGCCTTGCCTTCCACATCCCAAAGAAAAAGAACGTTTTCTCTCCTGGGTGTGAACTGTTTCATTGAAGTGGGAGCCTATCCTTAAAGCTTATTCTTTTCTCATTTATTCTGTATCACTTTCTCTCCTGCCTCCTAGAGGGTCTCATTTCCTACATTATCCTGCCCTATTGTGAGATCTTTGGTCTTTGCCCCTCTTGGCATCTTTCCCTCTGCCATCAAACATACAAGTCTTTCCCCAAATTGGGGGGTGGTGATGGTTACTAACAGCAACAACAAAGGCACAGTTTTCCTCTGACAATACATAATTCTTTAGCTACAATCTTCTCTTTTTCCTCTTTTCTCTTTCTGGACTGGAAAATAGATGTATACATGTGGCATCTTTTCGGACTGTGTCCAGCTTACCAATTTGCTACTCAGAGTTCATCTTTGAAGGTTATAGAACACTTCTTGGCAAAGCAAGTTCAGCAACACTGCACATTCTTGGTTTTCTTACTATTCATTGTATTTCTCATTTTCTACTGTAGCTGCACATTTAAATTTTCCCAAGACTGTGTCCTTGGCCCTTTGTTCTCTTTCCTGTATGCTGTTTTTCACAGTAAACTGATGCATTATCATGGATTTAATTTACCTAGAGGCTAGGGACTGTCAAATCTGTATCTCTAGTCCTGACTGATCTAATACCCATTCCATCCTTCCCCTTGTCTTTGAGTCATGTGGTTATTTCTCATTTAGATTAAGTTCAACATATGTAGAATCTTCTCCCTCCTCCATTCCCCATATTTAGCTAGTCACCATTCAGTAAACATGAGATTCTTTGAAGCTGGCTGCAAATTCAGTCAGCTCCTCTCACGAAGTATGTTTTTAACCTATCCTTTCTCGTCCCCCCTGAGTTGAAGCCCTCGTTACCTCGTTACCTCAAACCTCCATTACAACAACATCCCCAACAGCCTACTCACTGGTAGTTCTGTTTCCTCTCTCTCCTACAAACACCTACACATTTAGCATCCTGAAATGTATGTCATTCCAGGGACTCCCAGTTAAACAGACAGAAAGACTAGAATTTGTACCCGGCAGTCCAAGAATTTTCTCAACCTGCCCTACTTCTCCCTGTGTTGCCGGCTCTGACCCACCTACTTCCTGTTTCCTTGAAAACAGGTGCGAAGCCATCCTGCGTCTCCTCCCATTGAACTCCACAGCATATGTTGGCCATACTACTGATTCTGGCACCTGAACAGACAGAATACATTATTGCATTGCTAACTATTTTATACCCAAATCACATTTGTAATAGCTAGAGAATAAGGATCCTGTCCTATATTTCTTTAGTATTCCTATTTGTGGTATTAGTGTTTAAGCATAAAATATTTAATAAATGCCTACTCAATAAATAAGTTTTCTCAGAGCTCTAAAATATATGTAAGTTGGGCAGTATCCACTTCTACCCATTTTGTGTTCATCAGGTATTACCAAAAGTGTTTTTCACCCATAGTCTAAGTTAGAGGTTCTCAAATGTTTTGGAAGGCAGCTATGCTAACCACTATACCACCAACGCGAGGTTCTCAAATGTTTTGGTCTCAGGTTATTTTTATGCCCTTAAAAGTTAACTGAGGATCCCAAAGAACTTTTATTTATGTGGGTTATATTCATTGATATTTACCATATTAAAAATTAAACCTGAGAAAATTTGAAACACAGGAATACACAAGCACACATTCCGTTAGCTTTTAGAGCATTGATGTCATCATATACAGTCATTTAGCCTCTGGAAAACTCCACTGAACATTCATGAGAGAAGGAGAGTAAGAAAGGTAAATAACATCTTGGTATTAGTCTGAACATAGTTTTTACTCTCTAGGCTCCTGTAAGGGTTCAGGGGGCTTCTCCCGGTCTCCCCTGCCCATACTTTGAAAACTGCTCATCTAGGATAATGTTAGCTTTAGCCAGTTGGGGTGATAAATAGCAAAGTGTGTCAGCCTTTCCAAATTCTTTTCTTATAAATGAAAAATACATATACATGATATATATCTATATATATATATAGATATGAAATGAAACAAATCACTATAAATCATTAGTTAAAAAGAAGATGACCCACTGTGGAATGTATATGTCAACTCTTCCCCCAGATGAGCTAACTGTACACTTTAGGGACACTGGGACTGTTCAAAGCAAAGGGTGAAAGCGTGTTATCAAAGAGTCACACTAAAAGGTTCTTCTCCACTACCCCTCTAAGCATACTAATGTCCTGACTTGGAGCCTACAACTCAGCATGACTTAAAGTTTATTCATGGAAAATATGTCACTAATCAGTTTAGCTTTCTTTCATTAGGAATTTGCACTTCATAAATAAATGCATTGAAAAGAGTGGGTATGGCTGTTCCATTGTGTTGTATTTTGTTTTTAGCAAAGTTCCAATGGTCCTGTAAAGAAGTCCATGCGTGAGAAGGCTGTCGAGAGAAGGAACGTCAATAAGGAGCACAATAGTAATTTCAAAGCTGGATACATTCCAATTGATGAAGATCGCCTCCATAAAACAGGATTGAGAGGGAGAAAGGGCAGTCTGGCCATCTGTGTCATCATCCTCTTGTTTATCCTGGCTGTCATCAATTTAATTGTAAGTATGTGGTACAGAATTTTCTTGTTTTTAATTACCATGGGGAATTTTTTAGTGAAATCATGGACTTTGTTTCTATAATTTCTTTTGAAACCCTCTTACTTTCTGCTTTTCTGTACATATTTTATCCCTTATTAAGTTTTTTTAGATGCACAATTACCCTTCACAGTGTGTACAAAGAGCCCCTGACTTGCTTTACTATCCAAAATATTGTCTAACAGAATCCTGTTTTCCAAATTTCACACTCAAGAGCGCATTTTATCAGATGTTTCTTCTTCTGATATATACTTTGAAAAACAACAAGAGATTCCATCTTTTACACACTTACAGAAAAGACCCCTGGCCTTTTTTTTACTTATTATTAAAGTGTGGTTAACATACAGTGTTATTATTAGTATCAGGTGTACAACACAAGGGATTTGACGGTTCTGTACATTACTCAGTGCTCACTGTAAGTGTAGTCACCATCTGTCACCATATAGTGTTGTTACAACGTTATTGATTATATTCCCTGTGCTGTACTTTGCATCTCTGTGACTTATTTTATAATTATAAGTCTGTGCCTCTTCTTATTGAGTTGTCATAAATATGTTATATATTTTAAAAACCTAGTATGCTAGTATTACCACATATTAATTTTATTTAGAAGAAAATGTGCATGGAATATTCCCTTTAACTTTTGAAAGGGTAAAGTCAGCTCGGTAGAAGAGACCTTTGCCATCATGACTTTTGAAAGGGTAAAGTCATCTCGGTAGAAGAGACCTTTGCCATCATGACTTTATTGCCTTCACCTCTCCTAGAAAATAGAATCCTTTCTGTTTTCATTCAGCTTTGCCTAAATTTAGTCTTACCTCCTCAACCAGATTTTAAAATTGTAAATCTTTGTTTGACAGCAGAGGGTAATGTTTTGTAGTCTTAAGTCTCTGTTGTCAAAGAAGGAAAGGATCTGGTAGGCCAGTTTACACTAAAGTGCTGAAGACCCAGTATGTTGCCTTTTCCAAAGATACTTGCTTTTCTAAAGAAGAAGACCTACTCCAAGGTTGTAACTATCTGAGGGTTAAACTTGCACCCCTCTGGCATGTGTGTAGATGACGTAGTCAGAGGGTGGCTATTGGTATACTAATGACTGATGAACATGGGCTACAGTGGTTCTAAAGTGATTCCATTTATTTTTATTTTTGACTTCTAATACTTTTAAGCCAGTCCTTTATATTTTATGTACATCCAAAACATTTGTGTCTAATTCTTCCCTTAAGTTGGAAAGAGCTGGTAACTGTAAATAGTTTACTAGGAGCGTATGTTCTGAATTTATTTTATTTTATACATTTATTTGTTGTTGGAAACTTCTGGTTAAGATGGCAAAATGAAGACATTTTTATACCCTTCCTCTTTAAAAAGCTCATCCAAAGGTGACAATGTCAAGAAACAGAAATATCTTGAAAGAACGTGAGAGGCAACCAAATCCTAAACCATAATATATGAAGACAAAAAAGCAGGAAGCGAAATGGCAGCTAACTTACCAGAGAAGAAACTGCTTCTGTGGGTTGGGGACGGGGCTACAGGGTGTGTTGGTGAAAGTGCCATGCAGAATCATCAGGAATTGGAAATACAAGTACCACGAAAAGCAGGAGTGAGGCAGGAACTGAAAACAGCTTTTTGAGAACCCTGTAGAAGGAGCCATGAGATCCCTAGCCTTCCTGTCCCTTCCAGCCAGCAGTTAGGCAACCTCGCCCCCTAACCCCACACAGTATGTTATAGAAGGGAGAGGATTCTTCCTGTCTGAGGATGCTACGCGGAAGAGGGTAGGGATGGGTTTCCATGCTGGAAGTGGGGAAGTCTGAATCCTGAGTGCTGAGACTCCGTTTCCCAGATCTCTAGCTCTTTTCTCAGCCTCTGTCTCCAGCTGCCTGGCGCCAGGCTTATGTCCCCCAGGCGAGAGATGAAATAGCCTGCTCTGGAGAAACGGAAGCATCTGGAGAAAAAACCTGTAGATACTGACACTTGGCAGGTCCCAGTGAAAAAGCCACCTAATCTCCTACTGTTTAGCCTGTCACAAGTCCCACCCCCACACAGAGAACTTTCTGTGCACCTCTTTAAACCTCACTGTTAAATATGAACACTGAGTCACCAGGGATCAATGGATTTTTTGGGAAGCTCCCAGAATTGAAAAATGTTGGAGACCAAAAACACACCAACCATGCGGAAAATAGGAATTCAGGGAGATAGAGAAAAAACAATGAATGACAGAAAACTTAAAAAACTAAAACCAGTATTTTCAGAGAAATGAGAGACTATTACATCCACGAAACAAGAATAACATGCCATTAAAAAGGAGCAGTTAAAGAATAAGGAAGAACTTGTAGAAATACATAAGAATGGATGGATAGATGGAGAGAGAAAGAGATTAGAAGATAAAGAAAAAGAACCCTCCCAGAAAGCTCAACAAAATTAAAGAATCAATCCAGGAAGTGTAACATTCTGTTAATAGGAGTTTCAGAAAGAGATAAGAAAGAATACTGGGGAGAAAGTTATCAAATAAATGAACCAAGAAAATTTCCTAGAACAGATTGAAGACTACCATTCTGGGTCCAGTGTCATGCATAAAAAAAGAATCACACCAAGGCCGTTCCTATGAAATTTAAGAAAACCGGGGATAAAGAGAAGATCCTAAAATCTTCCAGAGGAAAAATAGAAACAGGTTATGTATGAAGAATACAAAATCAGAGGCGTCGGACCTCTCAAATGCAGCCCTACAAACCAGACAGCAAAACAGCAAGGGCCTTCAAAATTCAGAAAATAACACCAAACCTAGAAATGTCTATCAAGCTAGACTAATAATCAAATGTGAGGGCTTATGTGGACATTTTTTAACCATGCACACTCAAAATTTCCTTCATATATATTCCTTCTAAGGAGGCCACTGGAGGAGGTGCTCACCGCAAGAAGGCACTAACTCCCAGAAAGCTGAAGGTAGGGATGCAGGAAATTGGGTATCCAACGCAAAAGAAAGACGGAAGGAAGTTCCAGCATGAAGCGAAGGAAAAGTTCGCAGTTACAGCTGTGTTGCAGACCCAGGGGGAATAGTCCGGATTGGAGCAAGAAGATCAGAGTTCCAACAAGCTTTCCTGAGAGAGAAAAATAGAACTCATAGAATAAACTATCTGAGAGGTTTGGATTCTGAGAACCTTTTACTGAGTGTCATTTTATAGAAACATTGGAGGTTTTGAAAAGATTTAGTCGGGTTCTCAAAGAAACTAAGCAAACGTGGTCCAGTGCTGAAGAAGGACAAATATGAAACTCCAAGAGACACAGAGTACAAGAAAGGAAGTGCTCTCTTAGTTACAGTATTTGGCTTAGCAGTGAACAGTACTTACACGATTGCAATACTAAAAATACTGAAGCTGGGTCTTGCCAGCACTTGAGATGGGAGCCAGGGGAGAAGAAATATAAATGAGATAAATTCTCATCTGCTAAAGTAGGAAATTAATAGATAAAACCTCAAATTGATGAGTGAAGAAATAATGTATCACTTAAAAATCTGGAATAAATTCTAAATGAAATACCTAAAATTGTTGCAAGTGGCTGTCAGCAGATAAGATGTGGAGAGAGCAGAAGAAATAAGAAACTGCTCTTTCAGCCCTTTTTGACTTTTAGCTATTTGCCTGTAATACCTTGATAAAAATAAACTGGGTTTTATTTATAAGTGGAAAACCAGTTGATGTGTTCGTATCACTGATGAGACATCTTCACTAAGGAAGTTTAATCCTTTTGCAATTACCTTTTCTGTTTGTTTTCTAATTATGTTAAATGTATGCTACCTATTAGCAGGGGTCTTGTTTTCTCTTTTAGATAACACTTGTTATCTGGGCTGTGATTCGCATCGGACCAAATGGCTGTGACAGCATGGAGTTTCATGAAAGTGGCCTGCTTCGGTTTAAGCAAGTGTCTGACATGGGAGTTATACATCCTCTTTATAAGAGCACCGTAGGAGGAAGGCGAAATGAAAACTTGGTTATCACTGGCAACAACCAGCCTGTAAGTTATCATATCAGTTGAGGGACATTAGAGAAAAATTCTTTGTAAAAACCTAGAGTTGATTATTGGAAATGGGTATTTTCCTTGAGAGAACATTCACAAGCATATTTAATAATGTTGGTCTTATAATCTGTTAATATTACATGCTTTCTTAATATCTTAACATGGTAGTAGCATTTTCTGTAATAGATTAATTACTCTAAGAATAGAGTGTTCTCTTTCTCCTCCATGCAAGGTAACCAAACAAAGCACCTTCCCAGGTTGCAATACCCTGTACTTTCTGGGAGTCTAGAAGGGAATATGCCAGTCGGGTCAGTGGCAGCCCATGCCAGGTGGCTGCCGTAACATAAGTTTTCAATGGACTAGAACCTCAAGGAGGTAGTCTTACCACCCCCTGTCCATCTTAGGTCCAGGTCTGTCTATATGTCCTGTTGTGACCCATGGATTTGTGCAGAGCAGTATAAGCAAACAAGCATATAAACCCTCATTTGAAAGAACTCTTTTCCCAAGTACATAGAGAGGGGACAGACAGATGCAGTTAAAATTATTTGAAGTTAGTCTGTTATTACAAAGTGTTTTTGATAATGTTCTTGATGAATTTTGGATGCTGTCTCCTTTGAAAACATATTCATGATAAAGTGTTTTCCTGAAGATTGTTTTTCAGCAAGGAACAACAAAGCTCAGTGTAGAAAAGAACAAAACTTCTATTACAAGTGACATTGGTATGCAATTTTTTGACCCGAGGACTCAGAATATCTTATTCAGCACAGACTATGAAACTCACGAGTTTCATTTGCCAAGTGGAGTGAAAAGTTTGAACGTTCAAAAAGCATCTACTGAAAGGGTATGATTTATTTTGTTTACTTTATTAATGGAAAGGAATTGCAGTCTAAAGTTACAAAGCGGGTGGGGAGTTTTGCTGTTTTATAGTGATGTGAAAAAATAAATTCTGGAATAGTGGGGAGGATTGATTAATTCTAGATTTGTCATCTGATCATTATCAAATCACATCTCTCTATCTCAACACCTATAAAACGTGACTGAAAACACTTGCCTTTCATATTCCATGGCTGAAACTCCTATTCTTCTGTGTCTGATAATAATTCTCACTTTAATTTAGAAATGCTTTTTATTACTTTTTTTTTTAATTTTCAGATTACCAGCAATGCTACTAGTGACTTAAATATAAAAGTTGACGGGCGTGCTATCGTGCGTGGAAATGAAGGTGTATTCATTATGGGCAAAACCATTGAATTTCACATGGGTGGTAATATGGAGTTAAAGGCAGTGAGTATTTCTTAAGAGTTTTAGAGAATTTTTAGATTCTTGGACACATAAATCTATATGTGGAATAGTATACACTTATTAAAAATGGTAATGTGGTTGTATATTTTTTGACATGGAAAGATGTTCAAAATGCACTTTAAAGTGAAAGAAAGTTACAGTTTGTGAAATATCTCATTTTCATTTTTCAATACATATGTACGTTTTTAAAAACCTGGAAGGGTATGCCAAAATGTCAACAATGGTTGGCTATGGGTAGCAGGATAACAGATAATTTTATTTTTCTTTCTGCTTGCCTCTTGTTTTCTGAAACAATTTTTATAACATGATACCTATATTATTTTAAAAGGCAAAAATAAATAAATTTTCAAAATTCTGGAAGAATTCTCAAAGTAAGAATCATCGTAGGAAGTATCCATTCCCTGAAGTTGTTGGAGTTTTTTTTTAATTAAAGATTTTTCATGCCCTTTCCTGAGTTTTATATCTAGCTATGTGAAAATCAATTAGCAAATGTACAAAATGTTTTTATTTACCCATCTATTATTAACTGCAAAGGAAAATGATTTTGCCTTTATTATAGCTATTGAAAAGTGAAGCTTTGTCCTTCACAGATTATATCTGAACTTCAGTGGGTAACATATCTCATATAAGGGAGCCAGAAATCCAAAAACGGTTTACCTGCTCACAGTTTTGATCAAAGCATATTTATTCAAAATGTCTTTGGCCACCTGCTATATGCCACTTAACTAAAGCTAATTAAATTTATTTTACCAAGCATCATATATGATAAAAATAAACTTAAACCTAAGGACTTGTAAAATAATTATTTCTTTTATTTAAATTTAATTTAATTTAGAAAAAATAAGCTTTAAAAATTAAGTTTTCCATTTTCATAAATAGGTTTCTCCTCTAAAACACGTATTACAATTTCTAAATAATAAAGATAAACATAAATGTGTTTCTTGCCAGAAACTCAGTAGCAATACTGAGTATTTTTTGCATGTATTGTAGTAAGAAGCCATTCCTCTGAGAGAATAGTGTTGAAGAACGGTCATAGTGGGGCTGTTCTTCTCAGCACTGGAAACTCAAGCCAGAGGTGTGATAGATTTGCATATAGCCATTAGCAAGTTACCTAAATCTTTTCTTTCTTTCTACCTGAAAATTCTGTCTGTTGTTGATATGGGAAACATTAAGATACTTTGAAATACATATACATACATACCAGTTTCTCCACATGTTAAAGAAAAACAAGCCCCCAGTACTGAAAAGATAATTAGCTTTATAATCCAGTTAGTATCAGTGGCTAGTTTTTAAGTGTATCGCTAATTATTAAAAAAATTTTTTTTAATTTTATCAATTAAACACATTTAAAGAATAACTGCTCTAGCAATTTAAAGAAAGTAAAATTAAATGACCACAAGATGGCAATATTGGAACAAAATTTCAAATTTCATCACAAGAATTCTGTTTATTCCATATGCATACTAACACTACATAGTCAATTAGCTATTTCCATTTCTTCAAACCCAACTTTGTCTTATTGCTTTGAATGCCTTCTATAACCTGATGACTCTCAAATTTGGAACTCCTGCTTTAATCTCTCCTCTGAACTAAGACTCACATACCCCGCTGACTTTGTACCTTCTCCACTCCAGTGCATAATAGGCATCTCAAATTCAACAAGTCTAAAATCTTCATACCCTCCCTCTCTCCCCAGATATGCCTTTCTTTCAGTGTTCCCATCTTGTTAAATGGTGCCCATCAGTCCATCAGAAAAGCCTCCTGGCTCTAACTTCTGGCTGCTTCTCATTGCCTCCACCACCACCACCGACGGTATAAACCACCAACCACATCCTGCTGCACTGTTGGAACAGCTTCCTAAATGGTGAATGCTTCCTCATTCGCCCCTGTAGTCAGTCCTCTATACAGCAACCGGAGTGATCCTTTCTCAGAGATCACATCACTTCCACATTCAGATCCCTCCAAACGGCTTCTCATCTAATTGGGGATAAAACTCAAAGTCCATTCCCTTCCCTAACATGTCTGGCCCTGAGTTATTTCTTTGACTCATCTACCAGTCGACTCCCTTGTGCTCTCTGCTCTAGCCGCACTGGCTTCTGTGGGTTCCTCGAACACCTAGCACATCTTCACACGGGGGCCTTTGCATGTATTGGGTCCTCTGCCTAAAGGGCCCTTCCCCAGTTGCCCACATGGCTTACTCATAGCAGCCAGTTTCCACTGCACTGTGACCTTATCAGAGAGGCCTTCCCTGACCACCCTCTGTAAATAGAGCCCCTGCCTGGTCACTCTCTCTCCGCTTACCTTTTTTCCTCCAGTGATGTTTTATTTATTTTACCTGTTCATGTGTTTATTGTCTGCCCCTCCCCATGATAATGTCAACTGTATGAGAACTCAGACTTAGCTCTCTGTTGATTGCTATATCCTCAGCACCTAAAATAGTATCTAGCACATAGTAGACATTGAATAATTATTTGTTGAATGAGTGAAAAGAAGAAAAGGAAAGAGGGGGGAAAGAAGGGAGAGACAGACTTAGGAGTTCCCCCAAAAAAAGGGCCTACAGTTCAAGAATGTTCCTGAAACAGTGGGCTTAAAGAAGAGAACCTCGAGGTGGTTTTCTTTGAGTGCCTGGTCTTCAGAATTCTCTGGTTTGAATCTTCATTTGGGGTGTTGTAAAAACATTAGAAATTAAAATTAATTTTCTGTTGGAGAAAAAGTCTTTTTCTTCTTATCATCAGAAACCTACCAGTCACTAACTTTGTAAAAACTCTCGTAGGAAGTAACAAATGAAAATTATCTGTATCAGTCTTATGTACTTAGGAATTTTGATATAATTTTAATAAAATGTGTTATAACTATTGATACACTTTATGAACTAAAGAGGTTACTAGTTGAATCTTGACATTGATTTTGTTTTCTTTGTTGTTGTTTTGGTCATGACTTTACTGTTTTTTACTACCTATTTTTCTTGTTAATATTCTAAGTTTTGTTTATTAATTTTGTTCTATCACCACTTGTGGAGGTAAATAAATCATACCATTATTCTCCTAATAGGAAAACAGCATCATCCTAAATGGAACTGTGATGGTTAGCACAAGTCGCCTACCTAGTTCCTCCAGTGGAGACCAGTTTGGGACTGGCGACTGGGTGCGCTACAAGCTCTGTATGTGTGCGGATGGAACGCTCTTCAAAGTACAAGTAACAGGCCAGAACATGGGCTGCCAGATCTCAGACAACCCCTGTGGAAACACTCACTAGAAGAACCCGGGAATTCACCCATGTGTTCATATCTTGACTTGACTTTTTTTAAGAGTGTGCATGCAAGTCATGTTTTTAGAGAGCTTGCAATAACTCTTATTTTATCTACAGCACTACTGTAGCTATTATATAATCTCCATATTTAAAAGAGCTCTCAGAGAGCCTAAATTTTAATACATTTCATTAAGTTGCACTGATCTTCAAATTACAGTTCTAAAGTAATTATCAGAAGTGAATACAAGCAAAATTAATCTTTAAAGAAGTATTTTTAAAATCCCGCTGTTCCTTGTCTAAAGGATAAAGGGGTGAAGCAACCGTTTAGACTCGATATAAGTAAATTTTGGTAACTAATGGAGAGATACACCCACTTAAGATGTTTGAAAGGTACACCATTAATAAATGTTACATGCTCCGTCTTTGGGCTTCTAAGAGAAAAGACAGATTTTTAGTGCATTAATTTTCAGCTGTATTCTCAATGCAAGTGAAGTCATTAAAGAACTTCACATATGTAAGCTGGTAAGAAACTATGGTTTCTTAGTTTTGCATTAGGATGAAAATACTCTAATAGAATGGAATTTACTCTAAAAGAATAGAATTTGTTAAATATTGATGAGTACGAAGTGTTCACAATGTGGTAGAAATTGAAACACCATCCCAGCTTAAACTGTTAAATCCTGATGACAGCTGAGCATCTGACACACCCTAGGCCCTGTCCCAGGCACTGCATCTGTAATGTCACTGATTCTCACCACAGCTCTGGATGTAGGTGTTATTATCGCAGTTTTTCCCCTTAGGAAACTGAGGATCAGAGAAGTTACGAAACTTACCGAATGTCACATAGGAAATAGCCGGCCGGGTTGGGATTAGAACTTGCTTGTGATTCAAACCTAAATGTACCTGCTTCCAAATACCGTGTTCTTTTTACTATCTGCCCTGAAGTCTTTATATTTAAAACTCTAGAAAAATGAACAGAGACTAATTCAAACTTACCTAAGCAGATAAGAATCCAATAAAACAACCATGCTTACTCTAGTTAAAAAAAAAATCAATCTCATGTCAAAAAAAAAAAAATGGCCAACTGCTGTCAGGTTTTAAACTAGCTTAAGCCAATTCCAAAATATTATACTATGGAGAAGTCAAACTAGCCTAGTTGTAGGTTACTGCAGTGTCATAACTGAAGGGCCTTGGCACCTGGGAATGCCTGAATTGGGTAAAAGGGTCACTAAGTTATTTATACCCTCAGACCTCAGGGCAACACAGTGAGAAGTGGGAGGCCATGGCCCCAGGCAAGTCCCTGGGCTGGGAATGGCTGGTAGTTCACCCCAGTGAGCCATTCAAATAGCACCCATTGCAGTGTGCACCAGGCCTTGAACAAAGTCGGGCCACACTGGTATAAAGGATGCTGATACAGAAAATTAATCTTTAAGTAACTTTTGAGTAAGGATGAGAACTGATCTCTACGCCTCATATCACAATCCCATTGTAGTGATTTACAACCCTCAAGCCAGTTGATTTTTAATGCATTTTATATTTGACTTAAAAGGAACTCTGGTATTATTAATTACACACAGAGCATCAGGGGCTGAGTTTTCAAAATAGTTTGCTGTAAAATAAGCAGTAGAGATAAATCATAAGCCCCACTCTGCATTCAAGTAGAACAGCATTCTCTTGTGGTCACTTTGAACTGTGTAGATAAGAAAATCAAGACAAAAAACAATTTGCATTCAATCTAGTCACAGTTCTCTCTGATAGAACAACCACATGCCTTAGAGATTATGAATAGTCATTAAAGTGTACTAAAAGATATCGACTTACTATGTAATATGGAGTGCAGTTTTTAAATGAAGGAAAAAAGTGAACTTTATTTTTTTATTTAAATTCATTTAGCCAATTTATAGTACATCATTAGTTTCAGATGTAGTGTTTAATAATTTATCAGTTGCATATAACACCCATTGCTCATCACATCACGTGCCCTCCTTAATGCCCATCAGCCAAAAAGTGTACTTTATGACCTCTGAGTGTTATTGTTGTGATATTCAGATCTTATTTGAATATATTCAGTGTCATTTCATATTTGAATGATGTTCAGGAAAATCCATTGGAATTTTCATTCAGATGCTTAGTATATTTTAATTTTACATTCTTTACTTGTCTGCTCTATTTAGATTCGTTTTGAAAGTCTCTTTAAATATTTTTGCAAAAATCACAAAACACTACATTACAAAGTATTATTTACTGAATATAATTCACAAAGCAATCTATTTTTACTCGTCCTTGAAAAATACTTGTGTTTTTGATACATCTCCATTAAGTGCTTTTAACATGAGAGGATATATTAATGTTTTTATAGAACTGATTGTAAAGGTAACAGGTATGGTATTTTAGGACACTTTGCAGGTAGCCCTTGCCTTTTCACTGAGATGTAGACCCGGAAAACTCACTGCAAATGAGATCAAGAACAAACCGTCCATTTCACTTGTGATCTATTTTGCATAATGGTAAAGCTTCAGCTCCTCATTCTCACCACCAGATGGTAATTTTCAAAAACCGAAATGTTAACTTTGCCTCTTTCTTCTGGTTGTTCATCCCCTGCATTGAGCACTGATAGGAAAAGCAGCCGACTCGGGAAAGTAGATAAAGACAGGCTCTCAGGAGAGGGGGGTAGATATGCTTGTTTAAATAACCGCAGTACTTCAGAGATAGGTTGCAATGGCAAGGGAGACAAATGAAATAAAAGCAAAGTATTTCAGAAACCGTCCAATGGGCAGCTAGGGAAATGCAAACAACACAAGGTGGGGTCTGCCTATATATAGTCTGCAAGATTTAAAAATATCCTTATTTGTATTCTTTTTGCATTATGAAAAAAATAAATTTTGTGTGATAGTTCTGTTGATGAAATGTGGAAATTCTACCTAGCTTTGAACGAATTTTTTTCTTAAGAACGTTATGGTGCTAAACTTAACAAAAAAGAGACCGTTGAAATGCTGATAATTTTAGTAGTCTTTTAAAAAGTGTTGAGGACACGAGGCCATATAGCTCGGGGGTTAGAACACTGGTCTTGTAAAAAGTGTTGAGGGGGCAAAGACTACAAATTATGCCATACAAAAACCTATAACTGTTTTGGATTGCTACCCTGAGTTTCAGTTAACTCAGTTTGTAATAACTATTAATGATCTCTGTTTACAATAAAGATTCTGTAAATTGTTTGCTGTTGAATTTTTAATGGTTAAAATTCTAGCAGATTTCTACATAATCATACAAACATGATGAATTTAACTATAGCTTGAGAATACCTAAATGCATTGGTGTTTATGTAATCTGTCTGGAATCCTGGAGCTCCTAGCTCGAAGCTGTACAGTTCCTGTTTGGATAGTCCTACCTTCCGTGCATTGCAGACTCTCTCTAGTGGCTCCTCCCTCCGTGTCCCAGGGGAATGTGCACACGGTCACTGTGGCAAGAGGCCAGAGCCTGGAAGATGAAAAGGTGAGGGTTTGCCAAGGGCAGGCAGGCTCCAAGGGTGGATGGGTGGAGCCTCAAAGGCTCAGGTGTAAATCCCCACCTGGCTAGATCCAGACAGAGACCCCTTTGAAAACTGCCTAAGGACCTAAGGTATGCCTTAGAAACTGTTACTGTTGTGGTGTTCTTCCTACATCTTATCAAACATACCTTCTGCTTTCTTCCTATTGTTTTAACTTCTCTTTTATAGAAGAATGGCCCTTGGTTTCTGCTGTACTTTGTTTTTTCTCCAGCCTTCCCCCATTCTCTCTCTGACACACACACCTCCGATATCTCTAACTGCTTCCTCATACTTAGGCTTGAATGTGTCCATTTAAAGACTGACATTTTACCGAATTGTTTCCAATTTCCTTAGAAAGTTTTCTGGAGTTCTTAGGGGTTCTTTACCTAGTACATAAAAGTTTGTAGTATACATAATTTTTCTTTACAAATCAATGTATTTCATTTTAAGACATAAAATTATCCTTATCTAGCTTTCTTGAACTCAGATTTATTAGTTAATTTATAAATCTCTTAACTTAAAAAGAACCAGGTCAATGAAAATCTTTAACTTATGCCCCCATAAGTATTTTTCAATCATACATTTCAATACTGCAAAGTAACGTGCCTGTGAATGATGACTGTATTTTTTGGTTGTTCATATTTTTACATTAACTTGGTATATACAACTGTATTTACAATGACTGCAGCTTTGCATATAGAAACAAATATCTTTCTGGCTGTACAAATTAATTCAACTTCTGGTATTGTGTAAGAGGCACGCTATAAAAATAAATCACTCCTCCATGCTGCAGGGCACCTCTACAGTTCATGGCCATGTGTACCTGGATTTAGGTGCCCTTCAAAATGTAGGAGAATTGACCTTGTATAAAACCAAAGTTTAAAAGTTACATGTTAAATTTCATTCACTCCATGCATTTATTCATCCAAACAGCATAGACAGACTGCAGACTATTGAAAATATAAAACATGAGAAGGGGGAGGCATTATATATATATAATACATAATATATATATTATATATAATATAATATATATATAGTTCTAGTCATTTAAAAAAATTAAGCAAGAGTCTTGTGAATGAACTCTTTATATATATAAATTTTCCATATATATATATATGGAAATATATGAAATATATATCTATTTGGAAAACATAGCCCTTCTGGGAGCTGACAGTCTTTTGGGGAGTTTACTATCCATTTTCTTTTAAAATTTTCTGTGTATACATTTAGCCATTGTAGATTCTTTTCAACTTCTCAATCTTTGATGAAAAGGATAGTTGATGTTTATGTATCTTATTACATCTTCATGGTGCTGATGCAGAACATCCTTTTTATAACCCATTTTGTTTACATTGTATTTCAACTTAAAGTCACAAAGAAATGTAAATTTAATTTAATTTTAAAAAATCAAGAGTCGGGGCGCCTGGGTGGCTCAGATGGTTGAGCGTCTGCCTTCGGCTCAGGTCATGATCCCAGGTCCTGGGATCGAGTCCCACATCAGGCTCCCTGCTCCTTGGGAGCCTGCTTCTCTCTCTGCCTCTCTCTCTCTCTCTCTCTGTGTCTTTCATGAATAAATAAAAAAAAAAATCTTTAAAAAAAAAATAAAAAATCAAGAGTCTCCTTTTGTGAGTTGAACTTTCCCTTCATATCGTTCACAGTTTAGTGTAACTGGATGGCTTGTCACTCACATAATAAACCACATAGCTGATAACAGGTTGTAGATAAGCATAATAG